CCCACGGGGCTCCATACGGTTGCTCACACTTTCCCACCCCAGGCCGCATACCCGCGTCACACACCTGGGGCCTAGAATGGTCTCGCCACCTGGGTAACTCTTCTTCCTCCTTAAGGTTTCATTCAAACACCACTTCCCCAGAAGTCTCCCTTTAGCGTTCTGGAGAGGGAGGCCCTCTTCTTCCTTGCTCCCCAAGCAGCCTCTGAGCTGCACTGGGGTGTCATAGTACTGCTGCGCTCATAACCTTTTGAAGAACTACCTCCATTTATTGGTTTAATGACTGCATTCCATGACTGGAAGCTGAATAGGCAAGCATTATGCTTGTCTGACTTACCCCTATATCCCAGCACTCATCATGCAGAGGGCTAACGATGTGGCTGACTCGATAAAATCTACATCTACTGGATGTGAAAGCCTTCACTGTAAACAAAAATCAAGTTTTCAGCTTAAGGATTTGGACTTGCGTATTTGCACTGAACTATGCCTTTCCTTGTTTTAGTTATTTTTGTTACAGTTATACTGTTACTTTCAATAATTCCCCTAACAGTTAATGAACAAGACTGTATTTAAATTTTTGTTAAGCAGTGTGCTTTGGCAACTTATGTTCAATCCCTTCTGTTTCTAGTATGTTCACACTAACCAAGATAATCCTTAGAAGTAAAAGAAAAAAATGACTTTACTGATACTATGAATTTCCAATGGTTAAAATCTGATTCTTCCTCCCTTTGTTCAAGTCAGTGTGACTTTTTGGGAGAAATACTTTCTGATTTCTGCATAAATAGCAAAGAACTATGATACTTGGCATTTAGTTCCAGAAATAAAACCAGCAGAGGGAGCAAAGGAACATAAAACTAGTTTCCTAGGTCCCCATGGATTAGTAAATGCTATGTTGGCTTGTGGTATTAGGCCAATTCCATCTCTAACCCACATTTTTATACGACCTTCTGTACTATAACAGAGTGATGGGTGAATGGTTAGGACTCTGTATACATACCAGACTGTCTGCTTCTGAGTGTGGCTCTGGACTGACAAGACCCCCAATATCATTCTTTAATGGATCTGGGTTCATCTTAAGGTCTTTGTTTTGGGGTTAGGGAATGAGGAGATTAATCCTTACAGAGCCCCTTTTCCCAGAGTTTGGGACCTCTCAGGGCCCAGGATGGGCCGACTGTAGAGGAAGAGCTCAACAATATGTTTGCATCATCAAGGAATCTCTTAGACATCCCTGCTCTGGCTACAAATGAATGAGTTGTGCTGTAGCCAGACTGGCGATGGGTAAATACTACTGTCTATGGATAATAACAGTAAGTTGATTATGTGACCTGTTACATTTGCCTTCATGTGAGTTAGTGACTCTCCTGGGCCATATCTGGTCTTCCTCAAAGATAGTTCATGATAAAGTCATAGAGGAATGCTTTAAACTCTGAGAAAGATAAAGCATAATGCCAAGACGACATTTGATATTAGAACTAACCCAGAAGACAGGAAACCCTTGGGCCACATCTGGCTCACTACACAGCAGTAAGCGGCAGCTACTCACCCCTTCTCTGGCCTCCAGGCAGCAACAGAGAACTCAGAGCACAACTCTCAGCCGTACAGTGAACGGCTGACTACTAAAGAGCCAAGCTGAAAGCCACCTCTGCCTAAACCAGGTCTGGGAACTTCCCAGTCTGGTCACCAGGCTTGCCGAACTCAGCCCCTGAATTTCACCTTGGGCCCCTCCACTCCTGGCTTTGCCGTGTACTCCTGCCACATTTTGAGGGGCAGTTCCTACTAGCTTTCCAATTACACTCTCTATCCTGCTGCCAGAACCATCTTTTAGATTCTGACCAGGTTAACATCTTTGCTTCAAACTCTTTTATGGTTTCTCATTGACGTCAGGCTCATGCCTCAATGATCCAAATGGACTCTCACTTCCTTTCCGGCTGCCCACCACCTCAGACTCAGTGCGCCAGCCAAAAGGAGTTACTAGAGTTCCCAGGAGAGCACACTCTTGCAAATCTCCACGCCGTGGACGATGCTGGTTTTCTCTGCCTGGAGTGTTCGCCTCACTTCTTTTTCATGAACTCAACACTCACTCCTTCCCAAATATCTTAGGTCAACAACACCTCTGCTGGGAAGGCCTTCCTGATGGACCCCCCACTCCTGTTCGAGCTAAGTGCCCATTCTGTGTTCCTGGAAGTGTCCCATGCCGGCTTCCCCCTGCCCCTGCCGCCATGTCACTCTTTTGCTCCTGTCTCTCTCCCTGGGCTGTGAAGAATCTGAGGAAATAACTGAACCTTTTATTTCCATGACAGGGAGTAGTGGCTGAGATCAACCAGGGAGAGCAATGAGTGTAAAGAGACCAAGGTTCAGGGCAGAACTCAAAAAAGATCACTAAGGAGACGAGAAAGAGCAGTCAGAGAAGCAGAAGAAAACTGGGAGAGAATGTGTCACAGAAGCCAAAGGGAGGGCTGTTACAAGCATGAAGGAAGGGCGAAATGTTAAGTATGACATGGTTTAAAATACATCCACTGGATCTAGCAACCAGCAGGTCACTGGCCACCTTGGGGACAGCAGTGTCAGACAAGCGAGAGACAAGCCAAACTGCAGGTGGGTGGAAAGCAAGTGAGAGGTGAAGAATTTGAAGGAGCTGGAAAATGATATTCTTTCAAGAAGCCTTGCTGTTTGCTACAACATGAGGACATTATGCCAAGTGAAAGAAGCCAGTCACAAACAACGCATCCCATAGGAGTCTACTCTGTGAGGTACTGAGAGCAGGCAAATTCGTAGAGACAGAAGGTAGAATGGTGGTTGCCAGGGGCTGGGAGAAGGGGTATGGGAGTTAGTGTTTAATGGGGTCAGAGTTGCAGTTTTCTAAGACAGAAAATGCTGTGTGGATGGATGGTGGTGATAATGAGGGTACTTAATGCCACTGAGCTGCATGCTTAAAAATGATTAAAATGGTGAATTTTCGATTATGTACATTTTACCATAATTTAAAAAAAGAAAAAAGCAGCACTGCTGTTAAGAGAATATGACGAAAACGGCTACAACAGGATACAGGATTGAGAGAGTTTTGTTCATTGAACAGAAAGCCAAGACATTTAAGCATGTTAATACACTGAGAAGAGTGAATTAGTCAAAAGGAAGACAAAGGGAATAGTTTTTGATGTGGAGACCCCCGGAGACTCAGCCCTGGGCCGGAGCACAGGAGACTCCTTGGTGAGGCAGGAGGGCGAAAGATGAGGAAGTGTGTTTGTTAGGGAGGAATATAGGGCGGGCAAGAAAAAAAATTTATTTATTTATTTGAGAGACAGAAAGAGAGTGCGCAAACATATGTGCATGGGGGGAGTAGGGGAAGAAGGGGAGGGAGAGAGAGAATCTCAAGCAGAATCCTCGCTCAGCGAGGAGCTGAGGCTCGATCCCACATTATGACCTGAGCCAAAAATCCAGAGTCGGATGCTTAACCAACTGAGCCACCCAGGCGCCCCAAGAAAAACCCTTTTGAAGCCTCTATCTGATCACCTCTATTTTTCCTTGAAGGAGGAGTCTGGGGAGGGAGCAGTGGCTCAGGGAGAACGGTGAAGGTCTGGAGAAGCCCAAGGGAGTACTGAGGACGTGCGGAGGGACTGAGGCGACACTGACAGGTGAACTGGAATGCTGAACCTGCAGTGGTAATGGTGGCCTAGGGCTCAGGTGTGACTCGTGGCGGGCTGGCGACACTGTGAATGGTGCACACATTCTTCCAGAAGCACCAGAGCACCTGAACTGAGAGTGCTGGGCGGCTCGTGGCTGAAGTGACAGCCTTCTGGAAAGCAAGAGAGGATGGGGCACAGACACGGGGGACTGAGGGACCAAGGACGGACTGGTCAACAAGGGCAAGAGCAAATGGAGCCAGAGGCAAGGTTTAGGAAAGCAGGATATTAGGAGACTGAAGTCAGCAGTGAAATACAGAAGTTTAAGGTTCCTGACATGGGAGAGTTCTGGGTCCCCACCTGGCGAGGCTCAGCCAGGGTGTAGGTGGCTAAAAAGAGAAATCCAATTAGGAAGGACCTGGGGCCTTTCCACAGGGGATGCTTCTATGCGTTCTTCCCAGAAAACACAGATAATTAAGATTATTTTTTATGACTCTTTTCCTCTGGATTCAATTTCCTCTTTACTGCATTCCTTTTTTCCCCTTGAGGAAACCCTTCATGATCTAGGTACTATCCCATTTTACATCCTTATTCACCTATTTGTGTTCTTATATGCCATCTAAACTCAATATGAACCTTGTTCTGTACTAAATCATAGGTTGGTAATCTGTGGGAGACATAAAAAGCCCATTAAGAGCCATGAACACAGGCAGTGACTCATTTCCCAGGGTCAACATCACATATTAAAAATACTAGTAAAAACGAATCATTACCACCTATTCAAGTGTTTCAAAGGCTAAGCATGGATTATTTTATATTACCTTGCTTACATGATCCTGAGCAGATCCTGATTCCCTCCCCAACAAACAAACCCTAAATAATAAAAGATCCCAGAAGGAAGTTAAAAAGGAACCTGTACCTTTTTATGTAGCCCAGCTACCCACAACATATTTTTTTATTTCACTTGTCTTAGAAGTGGGGGGAGTCTGTCTTGCACACCATCTTCTCGCTCTAAGGATGGAAAGGACAGACTAAGGCAGCTGTATTTTTGGCCTCTCGAGGTCTCTGCAGTTGCCACATGGTCTCAAACAATGTCTCATCAACACACGCCAACACTAGCTTTCCCCAGCGCGACACGACATAGAACCAAATTACCAACATTTTCAAAACAAGAGTGGCTCCTTTTTTGTGTGCACTGAAAACTGTAGAAAATTTTTGACATTATATCTTACTGAACCATTCTGAAATCAGCTAAATGTATCACGTGTATCCGAGCACACTGGACTCTGTCACTTTCACAACATGGCATCCGAACGCCAGAACACGTGGCCGGCGATATGTCACTGTGAGAGCGGCACACGGAGATTCTGCTTGCAGTCCCACCTGTATGTCCTCTGAATGTTGTGACCAGGGTGCAGCTGTCTTGCTCCAGTTTGAGGATGGTTACTTGGCCTGACTGGTCACCAATAAACACATGCCGGGTTTCAACATCAAATCTATCATGTAAACATTAAGGATGTTTCTCAAAATTGAGCAGAGGGATTTACATACATAAATCAAGCAATAAATAAATAAATAAATAAATAAATAAATAAAACCAAGAAATGTGCAAATCCCATATGAAGAAAGCTTGGACATAACTTAGCTAAAAGATACAAAAGTAGACACAACAAAATAAAAGACGCAATATTATGGGACAATAAGACTTCACATGATAATGATGTCATTCCTTACAACATGAATTTACAAATTTAATATAATCCTTATAAAAATATCAACATATGTTTTTTTCCCAGAGCTGGGGAAGTTATTTAAGTTCATATAAAAAATAAATAAACAAGAAGAGCCAGGGATATTCTGAAAAAAGAGCAATGTGGTATGTGATAGGGGAGGTTAGCCCTACCAGATATTAGAACATGTTACAAAATCTCTGTAATTAGAAGTGTGGTATTGGTGCATAAACAGACAAACAGACCCACGGAACAAAATGGCAAGTCTAGAAATAGACCCCAAAGCATACAGAAATGTAGTACGTGTCTGATGAGGGTGGCTCTTCAAATGAATAAGGAAGAGATGGGTTAAAAAAAAAAAAAAGATGTTGACATAAACTGCACAGTCATTTGGAAAAACAAAACAGGACCTGTATTTCACATTCTATATCAGGATAAATTGCAAATGGCTTGAGGATCTAAATGTAAAAAATTACAAATGTAAGTTCTAGATGGGAGAGTTCCTTTATAATCTTGGAGTGGGAAAGGCTACTACTCAAAAACATAAACAACAACAAATAACATCAGCAAAGCCAAAAGATAAACTAGAAAAAATATTTGTAACTTATGTTACAAAAGGTCAAATCCCTAACACAAAAAGAACCATCAAGAAGAAAGCAACCACAAACCTAATAGAAACATGGGCAAAATGTATGAACACATAGTTCAAGAAGAAATGAATATGAAAATGAAAATGGTGTGTGAAAATGAAAATGTGTGAAATGGGCCTGAATGCTAGCCTTCAAAAGGCTGCTTACAAAGCTGGCCTGGTGTCTCGCACCTTGGATTTCCGGAGGGTCCCACCTTTAGCAGACCAGAGTGGCCTTAACTGTACACAGAATATGGTTTATGCCAAATACCTGCTTTCCTACTTAGTCTGGAATTTTGGTACATGTCAGGGACAGGCTGCCTACGTGACCAGTGTCCAGTACAAACCTAAGGCACTGAGTCTCTAGTGAGCTTCCCGGGTTGATAACACCTAGCAACCCTACTTCTAGAGATCTATCCCAGAGATACACTGGCCAAAGTACAAAATGCATGCCTGAGGCTATTTGCTCCATGCTATTTTAAATAGCTAAAGTGTGAAGACAACAAAAAAATTCCATCAAAAGGGCACTTACTGAATTAACTATGATATATCTATGCAATATCAGGGGAAAAAAGAGCTCCATATCATAAGCAAACACATGGAGGCATTTCCAGGGTATATTATAAAGTGGGGAAAACAAGCCAAGGTATATATGCTCGCGACACTATCTTTGCATAAGAAAGAGAGGGCAATAGAAATGTCTGTGTGTGTGTGTGTGTGAGTGTGTGTGTGTGTACCCGTGTGGGCGCTTATTTTACAAAAGGAAGCTCTGGAAGGATAAGTTAATATCTCACACAAGTGGTTGCCTATGGAGGAGGGAGAAACAAGCTGAAGGGACAGGGCTGATGGTGAGACTTTTCTTGTCATAGTTTCCATCCTGGAGTCATGTCATTATTTTACGTATTAAAAATATGTATAAAATTAAAAGAAAAAATCCTCCAAATTGACAACAAAGTAGAATCGGTGAACCATAACTATGGTGATCACCATAGTTATAAGCACAGCTAACCATATAACCATAGTTAACAGAATTATTCAAGTGCCTCTAACACACAGCGTTTCAACTGTACATCCTTGGGAGAATATATTCTAAGGACAAAGAGAACTGCAAGGAAAGCTAAAATCTCATTCCGTAGTCTTGGTGCTATAATACTGCTATTATTATTTTGAAACAGCTTAAATGTACCACAGGATAAAGCAAATATATTAATGTTTTAGAAGCCATAATTTTCAGCCCAAGGTGAAAGAATCAAGTACAAAAATGAAGTAAAAACTCTAAAATGTTAAATGTGAATATATTATATGAATTGATGATTTATTTTCTTTTCAGAAATATACACACATGTATTTCCTAGCTATCTCTGAATACTACGCCTCACTAAAAGAAACAGCTGATTCAGGACTGGGACAGGAAGATACAAGATGAGGTTAAGATGTGTTGTGCCAAAAAGTAGGGAAACTCCCTTCAAAGGCAAGTGGGGTTCTATCAAAAGACACTGGAGCCAATATGATGGGGCTCTTATTGGCCAATGATGGGACAATATTCGCATCAAAAAAGGCAAATTATTGAAATCTACCAGATATATTATTTTAAGAAAACCTCAAGAGTTTATAATAATGCTCAAAAAGAAAAAAAAAAAAAAAGACACCTATTGGAGGTAACCAGGGCACTGAATCTCTACTCTGAAAATGAGCAATTAAAGAGAAATAACTAAGAATTTATGTTGCTTTTCCCATACTAATTTTATCTCAGGGTAACCAAATAGCCCTAGTTAATGAGGGAAAGTTCTACTCTATAGAAGAATTCCAACTAATACATGTGGAAAAAATGATACAATTACAAAATAGCCATTTTGCGACCCTAACAAAATAACTGGTTCAGGCGAGACCACTAAAGGCAAGGCTGATGTGGAGGTCAGCACTGCAGGGACCTGGTGGTCACCACCTAAAACACTAACCAATCCCAGCATCTCTGGGAGGGGGTGACAACCCTCCACTACGTGCCTCCTGCTGCGAAGCAATATGAACCAGACAGCACAAACACCAAATGTCCTTACCAGAAGCTGGATCTGAACTGGATCAAGACTGTAGAGGTAACTCCCAGCTTACAGAAAAATATGGGAGAAGTGCAGGTAGAAGAAAAAGTGAAATGACATCATGAGGAAGCAGAGATCACTTTAGAACGCAGGGCTGTCTCCAGGAACATGGACTCCGTATCTCCAACAAGTTATAGAAGCATTAAAAAAAAGTGAAGGGAGGAGATCACTGCTCTAGATTGAGAGATTTAGGATATGACAACCATAGTCAATGGTCAGTGTGCACTGTGTCTGGCCCCGATTTCAAACCAACTCACTGCAAAAAGCCAGTAAGTGAAATGTGAAAATGGATCAATTATTCTACAATATCAAGCAGTGGTTATAAATTTTTAGGAGTAATAATAGCATTGTGGTTACTGAAAAATTCTGTATTTTTTAGTGATGCACAATTAAGTATGTAAGGATGAGATGACATAAGGTCTAAAATTTGTTTCTGAATACTCCAGCAAGGAGAGAGGGAAAGCAAAAAAGATCATAGAATCAACGCTGGATCTGATGAGTACGTGAGTGTCCATTATAATCTCTTCTCCCAGTTGGTGCATGTTTTGAAAATTTTCATAATAAAACTTTTTTAAAAGTGAAGGAGAACAAGGCACCACAAATTCTTCCAGTCTCCAAGAACAAGGGAGATATATGTAAAACAATATTAAGATTGATATGGAGTAAGATCGCCTTACATTCACCCAGATTAATTTTAAGGACACTGATGAAAAAACAAATGCACTCTGACATCCAACAGTCTTTATGATGGCAGGTAAATAGTAGTATTCTCTTAAAAAAATATAAATGCAACAAAAGCTATTTGAAAGAGAGCTGAAATAAAATTATACTACAACCTCAAAGCCAGAGTGATTGGCATTAACTATGATATGAGGAAATATAAAAATCAAGATAATCTTATAGCTTTCCAGTACCCTTGCCCTGAATATGAATAGATCTAAGAGACTTCTTGGTGAAAAGACCTTGTACTATATAGGGTGACATCTTGGAACTATCTCTAGCATGAATAAAATCTTAAAATGAAGAGTATCTAAATTATTTCTGTGGAAGCATGAAAAATGTGATCGAAACATGGTCAAATGACAAGACTGAAAGGTGAAACTAAATTATTCACAAATTTAAATACTAGTAAGTGAAGTGGTGAAGGAAAATAGTTCTATTTCCTAACATCAACCTGCCATGTGACCTTTGGGAAATACCTCCACTCTACTGTATTTAGTTGCTCAAAGGGCTAGCCAAAAGATTGTAATACCCAAATTCTAATCCTGGTTCCGCCAGGCATTAGTCATGTGATCTTGAGAAAGTCCCTTAACCTTTCTGAGCCTTGGTTTCTACACTGTGAAAACTGAGGATTTGGTCTTTGGTTTTTACTTCTAATTATTGTTAAATTGATTATTGTTGTTAGTGTTATAGCTCTTAATACTTGAAGCTTCAGATCTTTAGCCAAAGCAACCAAAGATTTTGAAGTTATTCAGAAATTGGTAATTCATTTTTTCATGTGTCTGTTAGCCATTTGTATGTCTTCTTCAGAGATGTGTCTTTTCATATCTTCTACCCACTTTTTGACTTGATTATTTGTTTTTTGGGTGTTGAGTTTGAGAAGTTCTTTATAGATCTTGGAAATCAGCCCCTTATCTGTAGTGTCATTTCCAAGTATCTTCTCCCGTGCTGTGGGTTGCCTCTTTGTTTTGTTGACTGCTTACTTTGCTGTGCAGAAGATTTTTATCTTGATGAAGTCCCAAAAGTTCATTTTTGCTTTTGTTTCACTAGCTTTTGGAGATGTATCTTGAAAGAAGTTGCTGGGGGCGATGTCAAAGAG